AGAGCCCAGTCTGCTCTGATTGGTCAACCAGCTTTAGAGACGTCCCGCCCCTTAGTCTATCACATACAATGTAGTTGGAGCGCTAGCCAATAGGAGACGCGAGTGTTCCTTAGTGATGTCAGCAACATGCTCTTCTCATGTCTACCGTTTGGACTCCATATCGCCCCCTGCAGGCCTCTCAGGGTCCCTGCAACACTCCAAACCCGGCATGCTGGATTTTGTACGGTCAAGGTGAAATGGGACGCGTGGAATTCTCTGGGCTCCATTTCTCAGGTACGCTCTCACCTGTTATCAATTCAATAGCTTTATCAGCATGACCATAGTTACATACAGTATTGCTAAAGCTCTGTGCAGCTGCAACATCTCCACACAAACACATACCAACTGCTAACATTTGAACACAAGCAAGAACATGTTTTCTTTCTTTTCTTTTTTTTTTAAAAACAGATTCATTTAATTCATTATCAGTGAATATCACTGTCAGGTCTCTGTGTTCAGTTTCCTGCAATCAGATGAAATAAAATAAATGATAAAATGTCCTTTTTTTAAACTCTGTCTCTCAGGATGAAGCCAGGCAGCAGTACTGCGACTTCATTGGCTCTCTGGTGACGGCAGAAGGCGGGACTTCCGCCTCATTGGCTGCAGAGCCTGCTGGAGGCGGAGCTACGTACGAGACGCTATTGGTCACAAAGGAGGATAAAATCACCACCATCAAACTGAACCGTCCAGCCAAGAAGAACGCCATCACGACAGAGGTAACACACACACACACACACACACACACACACACACACACACACACACACACACAGACACAGACACAGACACACACACACACACACACTTCTGTTGCTTACACAAAACAAGAGATGGTATAATGGTAGTCATATCATTAGCTAAAACTAGCTAGATCTGATCGATATGGACATAAACGAGAGTGAAGTCTAATCTGACGGGAGAGAGAGATCAGCTGCTGCTGACGAGTCGACACGCTCTGCTGCATGATCACATGCAGCAGTGAGCGGACAAAACACACACTTCAGGTTAGAATATCACACGTAGCTATTTGAATGACCTCTCAAACTACCGTAACTAGTTATAGATATGTTTAGTTTCACTGTCGGGTCACTCTGATCCGTGAGCTGCATGATACTGACGGGCTGTCAGGAGAGGAGGAGAGCGCTCCGTTTATTATTCCCGTGTTGTTGTAAGTTACTGAACACTTTTGAATAATGTAGTTAATCTACTATAATTGTCGGACGGGTCGGACGCGTGGCGCAGTGGTCTGTGCGTTTGATCATCAGATCAAGGGGGTGTTGGGGAACTCCAGTTCGAAACCCGCTCCCGCCCCACTGCGTCAGGCCGTTGTGTCCTTGGGCAAGACACTTCACCTGAACTTGCTCCTGTGGGTATCGTCCACAGTAGATGACCATTACATGTATGATCTGTATATGTAATGTGTATTTGTAAAGCGCTTTGAGTCATTGATAAAGCGCTATAATAAATATGAGGTTATTATTATTATTATTATTAGTTTGTTTAATATCGTATCATATCAATTTGTTTTAAAGCTCAATAAATAACAAAGAAGACCTTTGACCGGAAGATTTAAACTTTAACGGACATGTTGACCGGCGAAAGAATATTCTAACGGGAGCTCTGGCACACACACACTTCTGTAGGGATGAGACTTCTTTTTAGATTTAGATAAGAAGTCTTGTGTTTATCTTATGACTCTAGTTACCTAATGTAGGTGAACATGTTAAACACTGCTAATGAGCTGTAAATAGGCTGCTTATAGGAGGGTCGTCAGCTTCTATTAACCTGGTGAAAGGGCTGGTAATACGCTGGTAATAAACTGGTAGTTAACTGGTAATCAGCTGGAAGTAATTTCTCAATAAGATGGTATTAACCTGGTAGTACACTGTAAATAATAACCTGGAATCAGCTGGTAATAACCTGTTTAATAAAAGCTGGTAATACACTGGAAATAACTGAATAATAAGCTGAAATAATAACCTGTAAAAAGGCCAGTATTAACATGTTAGAAAGAGACTGGAAATAATGAGTATTATCTGGATTTAACATCTGGTTTAGACTTGATGGTAAACTGGTTAGTGGCTGCTAATCAGATGCTAATCAGATGCTAATCAGATGGTATTAACATGTTAGTAAGAGACTGGTAATAATCAGTGAACTTATAAACTGGTATGAACTGGTGTTAAAGTGTTAACAACGTGGTTTAAAGATGTCATGATGTCCTCTGCAGGCCAGTGAGATGCTGCTGTTCAACAAGAAGCTCTCAGCGGAGCAGGCGTCTGAGCTCGGACTCGTCTCTGAGGTTTTCCCCGACAGCAGCTTCCAGACGGAGGTTTGGAGCAGACTGAAGAAATACGCCCAGCTGCCCCCCAATGTAAACACACACACACACACACACACACACACACAGCATAACATTTGAACTCAAGTGTTTTTTAGATTTTTCATGTTTTACGATTAGTTTGAACCTTGTTTAAATATGAAATGCTCAATGCATCAAA